ATGTGACACATCCGAGTCGTGTCTAGGGGCTACCATGCTGCAAGAAGGACAACCTGTTGCGTTTCTAAGCAGAGCATTGTCCGTGACAGAGAAAGCCTATGCTCAAATTGAAAAAGAGGTTGTTAGCAATACTCTTTGGAATGCAAAAATGTCACCAATACATTTACAGTTGCACCATGGATGTACAATCTGCCATAACCCTCATGAAAGCCATTACTCAGTGCACCAAAACACTTACAGTGGGTGATGATGCAACTGTAGAGTTACAGTGTACAGATCAAGTATTGCCCAGGCAGCAACTTGGTGTTGGCAGACACCTTAAGCCATTTATACTTGCCAGAACCCAGCCAGGAGAGATCCGTAGAGGCCGAGGTGGAGACAGTTAATATGGGTACAGTACTTTCCTATCTTGGAAGAAAGGTTGAAAGAGGTACAGAGCAAGACAGAATGCTGCAGAAATTGCAACTCATGATCCTACAAGGATGGCCAGTGACAAAAGATCAAGTACCTAAAGAGAGAACACCATTCTTTCAGATAAGAGATAAGTTATGTATACAGAACGACATTATATTTAAGGGAGAAAGAGCAGTTATTCTAGCAGCTATTTAGCAATGAGAATATGCGTAAAGTTTATTCATCACATCTGGGAATTAAAGGTTGCTTAAGGTGAGCCAGAAGGACTGTGTACTGACTGGGAATGAATGAACAATTATGGGTATTCATAGAAAAGTGTGATGTATGCAGACCCTAAGAAGACAACCGAAAGAGACCCTGTGGCAACACAAAGTTCCAAGAAAGACCATGGGCAAAGGTGGGAGTAGATTTGTTTACCTTTGGAGACAAAGGATACATGATGATTGTAGAGTATGTTTCCAATTTCTGGGAGATAGACTATAGACTACAGGATCCATAACAGTCATGCAGAAGATAAAAGCACACTTTGCACAGTATGGGATACCTGATATTCTGCGTTCTGATAATGGACCTCAGTTTCTTTCAGGAGAGTTCTGGAAGTTCAGAAAGGACTGGGATTTTGGTCACATAACATCTTCACTGGGGTATCATCAAAGCAATGGCAAACTGGAATCAGTAGTAAAAACTGATTAGAAACTGTTGAAAAAAGCAAAAATGGCAGAGGCTGACCAATACTTAGCACTAATAGATCACAGAAATATTCCCTTGCAAGGCCTAAATTCTAGTCCCGCACAAAGATTGATGAGCCAGAGACCTAAGACACTCTTGCCAACAAGCAGAAGGTTTTTAGACCCTTGGTACTCAGGCGTTTCACCTGGCGAATATGGAGAAACCAACAAAAAAGACAAGTGTTTTACTACAACACATCTGCAAGAGATCTGACAGATCTGGAACTAGGCAACAAAGTATATAAACAACCATTAACAAAACAGGATAAAGTTCTGCCACAAAGCTACCCTAGTGCAACAAGGAAACCAAAGATCATGTCAAGTGCAAATAGACAATGGACAGATAGTGAGGCAAAACCATAGGCACCTCAGAAAAATAAAAAATCTCTAAAGACAGGATGGACAACAAATGTCTTTGGGTTCTACAGCAGGAAAATCCTGAGCCAGAGTTGTTAGAAGCAGACAACGTCAGGGGCATGCCAGAGGAAAGACAGAAGGAAGAGGGTGTTTTGACAGACTCAAGCAACACCATGCCTAGAGGCTGTTATTGACCAGATGGGAGTAAGACATCACCAAGGAGGCACCAGTGAACCATACCATACTAGAGGAGGATGGACTGTTATAAAACCTGCTCATCTGAGGGATTTTGTGACGAACTTCCAAGTTGTACCACTGTGTAGCTAGACAGACTGATAAAGTGATGAATGAAGTAACTGCAAGAATGGTCAGCATCTTAAAGGAATACGTTAGATTACATTATCAGTTATTGCTGGAGTGTTTAACAGCTTTTTTTTAAAAGAGAAGGGATGTAACAATATGAAAGTGCCAGCAGATCGCATACTGTTTTCTGGGGGGGAACTATTTGGAAATGACACCTCCTGGGGAACTGTCTGAGAAGCCATGAGGCTGAAGAAGCCATGTTGTAAGCAGCCACAATAAGGCTGGAGTTTATTAATTAACCCGGTGTCGGAGTGAGATCTTATAAGGCAGCTGATCCAGAAACAGTGAAGCGTAAAACATTGCTGAGCCAGGAGGGAGGGATTAAATGGTCATCCTGCCCTCCGTTTTGAAAAAAAGCTCTTAAAATTACACCGATACCTGGGGTCTAATGGGGAGTACTCAAGGGAACTTATGGAAATGTGACCTTTCTCCCCACAGTTCCGCTGGGCTCCCAGACAGTCTTTCAGAATTTCTCAAGTGAACTGTGCTGGGAACTGCAGGATAGATACCCGGAGCACAATGCAATTGCAGTAGCGTAGTACAGCGCTAGTGTGGATGTGGGTAAAACTACAGTCGGAATAGCATCACTAGTACAATGTAAGTACTTACACTACAGCTGTCCTTATGGTACTGGTTAAGTTGTCTGATGTAGACACAGTTGCAATGAAAAGTGTATTTTCCCATCAGTGGCAATGTGAGTATTAATGTTAATTGTTAATGGGTGTTACCCACATGATGCACCCTTCAAAGAAGAACAGATTGCAAAATAGCTTTCTGAGCAAGGTGGTAATGATGCATTGTACTTATCTCTAAATCTGAATTGTTGCTTCCAAAAGCAATACAGAGATTTGAAGCACAAGACAGAGTGAGTGAATGTGAGTGTTTTTGGTGCAGTGGTTAAGCATTGCCGAGAAACCCATATAGCATCTACCAATTTAGACACAGGAAGCTTAAACTATAATTTTTGACTAGCTCACTTTGTAAGCTAATTGGAATTACAGACAAGAAAAGAGCTTCATCCATTTAATATAACTCCTACTGTACTTAACTGAACTGCTAAAAATGAACCAAAATTATTTGCATAAACTGCTTAGCAACACAAATTCAAAATGCAGAAAAAACTTGTTTTCAATAAAACCGAAAGTAATATTTTAGAGTTCTGTCCATAAGTCCAGAAGCTGGTTAAAAGCCAAAACTGTATTCGACTAACTAGCATGACGCAATTGTGCTCAGGGATAAAATTTTCAAAAGCACCAAAGTCCCATTTTCAGATGTGACTTAAGCACGCAGACCCAGATCTGCAACTGTATTCCCATTGATTTAAATGAGAGTTAAGTACCTAAATACCTTTGAGGATATGGGCCTTAAGGCCCAAGTCTCACTGCAATTTAGGCTCCTAAGTCACTTTCCTAAAGGAGATTTAGACTCTTAAGTCCCTTAAGCATCTCCTCCCAGTGCTTCATCCTCCCCTAGTTCTGCATTCCCCTCCTTGCTCCGTTTATTTTCTTGTCAACTCTCTGCAGATCTTGTTTTGGTGGCATTTCAAATGGCAATCTGACAGGCATTGCTAAGGGGTAGAGATATTATTGTAATGGGCATTGCCCTCAAGTTAGTTAGAAGGAACAAGGTGTCTTCTCTCTCCCTCTATGTTAGTGTTGGTGAATAAATGTCAGGTTAATTTAACTCCCCAGAATGATTCGGGGTAACTTCTTGTTTTTCTTTTTAAAATATTAATTTACACATTTACCTGGATCTTATCACTCTCAAAATACATTTCTGAACTTTCTAAGTTAAATGTTTTATACAAAATGGAATATAAATGGATGGAAGTCAACACTAAGCAAAAATCTGTTTTGTTTTGTTTTTTTGTTTTTTTTGGGGGGGGGTGTTTTGTTTTTGCTTTTCCAACTTTGACTCCACAAATCCCTTCACTTGTGAACCCCCTGATCATGATAACACATTTTGTGACACAAAGACCATCTATCCTGAGTTCAGTGGGGCATTTAAGACTTTTATATAGAGTACTATAGGAATGCAGCATTTTGGTTGGATGGTCAAGCCAGGTGGTCAACCAGCATGCTGCATTCTGCACAAAAACAAGGTGTGGGAGAATTTTACTCAGGACACTAGGGGAACCCTCTCCTCTTGCAGAAAGCAAAGGATGTCCACAAATAAGAGACAGGACTTCATTTTTTAAACTCTCATACGCAGGATCTCCATTCTGTATGGACCTCAGTTTATCACGGAGGCAGCAGAAGTGCGATTTGAGTGGGGGGTGCCGAGTAGTGGCCCTCTACATGAGAAGCAGGTGGAGGTCGGGGTATCACGGATAGGAGGAGGAGTGAGGGGAGCTACTGAGCCTCAGCAGTGGGAGCATTTTCCTACCTGCTCCCTGGCCTGATCCGGGGCATTATAGCATCTACTCCAGCTTCCAGGTCCTGCTTTCACCTCGATGCCACTTGCAAGGAATGTCGCACAGGTGCAGAAACATAGATCGGGGCATTAGCTCCCACTGCCCCCTTGTTCCGCTGCCCCTCATTTATCTACCACAGAAGGACTGAGTCAACACTCCTAGGATTCTAACCTGTAGAGTGTAGGTATTTCATACCTAATGCTTAGCCAGTCCCTCTTGGCAAGAATTAATATCAAAATATGTTATAATGGTAATTGTAGCTGTGGATGAAATGGATGACATACTTAACTGGACTTTATTATCCAAGAGGGTTATCAGACAATAGATTAATCATGAATAGACTATTATTTGTGTCATAGCAGCATCCAGAAAACCCAACCAGAAATTGGGCCCATTGTATTTGTACAATAACTAGTACATAGTAAGGGACACTTCCATAACAGGCAATGGGGCAGATCGTTACCTGGTGTAAATCAGCAGAGTTCCACTGAAGTCAATTTACACCAGCTGAGGATCTGGCCTTACAGTTTTAGGGCATTACTCTCAATAGGCCTTAAAAAAAAAAATTGGGGAGGAATATCTTTACGTTTCAGAGTCAAGATGGTTGTGTGGGAAGGACTTAAACACAGCTGCAAACAAGCAATTGTTAGAAAAGAAAGAGATGCAAAAAATATTCCAGTAAGATTGTTAGCTGTCTTAGTACTGAGTTTTTGGTTGCTGCTTACTTCTTTCTTTAGAACCTTCTTTGTTTCTTTCTCTCTCAATTTTTTCCTGCTTACTTTAGCGAATTCTTTAGCTGATTTGGATGAAAGTTTAACTCTGGTGAGTATCTGGCCCTGGAAAAAAGAGAGAGAAAAGTATAAAACTTTTTTTATATATTATACAATCACTAAGGGCTGGATAAACACAAAGGTTTGATCCCTTCTGTCCACACACAAATCAGTCTGACTCGGGTAAGCAAGCACTCAGGACCCAGGTCCTCGGACTCTGGTAGGGATTTGGGTCAGAGCCTAAGTCTCATTGTGACTGAGGTCCAAGCCCTGTCATTTTGCAGTGTGTCTGCAGCTCAAGTTGCAGACCCGAGTCAGAAGGTCTGTGTAGTGCAATATGGACGTGTTAGCATGGCTGTGAGACCAGGTCCAATAATGGTAAGCCCAGGCTTACAATGTAGTGTAGACACTCAAGCCTGGGCTTGGAAACTTTGGGTATGTCTATGCTGTAAAAACAACAACCACCCCCCCCCCAAATACCTGTGACAGTGAGTCTGAGAGCCCAGATCTACTGACTGGGGCTTGCAGGCTTTGTACTGTGGGGCTAAAAATAGCAATGTAGATGTTCCCACTCGGGCTGGAGTCTGGACTCTGAGACCTGGTGAGGGGGTCTCAGACCCAGCTCCAGCCCAAGTGGGAACATCTACATTGCTATTTTTAGCCCTGTAGTGTGAACCCCATGAGCAAGAGTCAGTAGATCTAGGCTCTGAGACTTGCTGCTGCGGGTTTTTTTTTTTTTTTTTTTTTAGTGTTAGATTTACCCACCAAGTCTGCAAGCCCAGGTCCCAAAGATTCAGGTTTACAATGCAGTGTAGACATGCCCCAATCAGAATTCAGGTCAGACTGTGTTAGATGCTGTACAAATGCACCTTTTCGGTATATGTGTGTAGGCTGCCTAGCAAGATGAGGCCCCAATCCTCTGACTGGAACCTCTAGGCAGTTCTGTGCTAACAAACACATATATCTATAACAGTAAGTGACAGTCCCTGCCAAGAGCAAGCTGTTGATAGTTGTATTTTTGCTGTTTGCCAATAATAAAGCCTTATTAAGTGCTAACATATGTGGAATTTTTTCTAAAATAAAAATTGTTTCTTAGAAAACAATCAAGCCAGTTACATTGCTAGATAAGAATCAAAACTACCTGGGTTTTTTTTTTGTACTTTTTAACGACTGTTTGTTCACATATATCAAAAAGGGTTAATTTCTAAAACAATCTGAAAGATGCTTACAGTCTGATTTTAACTCCACTGCAAAATAGATATTTAAGGGTGACAGGTTTCAGAGTAACAGCCGTGTTAGTCTGTATTCGCAAAAAGAAAAGGAGTACTTGTGGCACCTTAGAGACTAACCAATTTATTTGAGCATAAGCTTTCGTGAGCTACAGCTCACTTCATTGGATGCATACTGTGGAAAGTGTAGATCTTTTTATACACACAAAGCATGAAAAAATACCTCCCCCCACCGCACTCTCCTGCTGGTAATAGCTTATCTAAAGTGATCACTCTCCTTACAATGTGTATGATAATCAAGTTGGGCCATTTCCAGCACAAATCCAGGTTTTCTTTCACCCGCCCACCCCAACACACAAACCCACTCTCCTGTTGGTATGGCCAAACTTGATTATCATACACATTGTAAGGAGAGTGATCATTTTAGATAAGCTATTACCAGCAGGAGAGTGGGGTGGAGGGAGGTATTTTTTCATGCTTTGTGTGTATAAAAAGATCTTCTACAGTTTCCACAGTATGCATCCGATGAAGTGAGCTGTAGCTCACGAAAGCTTATGCTCAAATAAATTGGTTAGTCTCTAAGGTGCCACAAGTACTCCTTTTCTTTTTATTTAAGGGTGAGTGGTTGCACTTATGAATTCACTTTTTCCATATTTCTTTCTCTAACTGAGTCAGTGTGCATCTCTAGTGAAGTCAGGGGTAGACTGCTAATAAATAAAGGCTCCTAGTAGAGCTATATTTATCCATACCTATTAGAAGGTACTGGAAAGGGGGAAAGAGATAATATTAAGGGTTACTGACTCAGTGAAAACTCGTTAGTCTCACAGGCTGTAGACAGACTGACATTTTTAATGAACCTTAATTGCAAGCAGTTGCAACATACCAGTTCTTCTAATTGTGGAAGAGCCACACCTTGTAGTGGTGACAAAGACAATCGCACGCTTTCATGTTGCCACTTGTAGACCAAGCTAATAGCAAAGCGCCCTGCAATCCTCACAGTGATGTAGTCATTAACCTGGAGTAAGACAAAGGGCAGTCATGTTCTATACCCAATCTTCATTTTTGTGGCCCAGGTGGGAGATGCTGCATAGTGTGACCTCTCCAAATGTTAAAACGGGGAAAGATTGCGATTAGCCAACCCAAATGATGGTTAGTGATCAGCCTTTTCAGTTAAATGTTGAGCCAAATTCTGGTTTTGTCTCCAAGCAAAGATTAATGATGTAAAGTTAGTTAATACTGTATGCATATGAAGTCTGGCCAGAAACGGCCCCTTGCCCAGACTATTCTTGTCCAGGACATACTAATCTGGATCATGCAGAGGCAGGAAGGTATGCACTAGTCATTGTCTAGTGAGGGAACATATGAGAAACTCCCCCAACTTTTAAGGTGACTCAAGAAAATGCCTTTGCTTCTTGATGTATAAGACCTACAGAATCAGGCACAGATTAGCAAGAAACATTCTACCCTATGCTTGGCATTTGAGCTGGGTTGCAGGTGTGGATGAGCAGAACTTAGACAGTATCCGGTGTCTAGAATTTGTTTTGCACTTTTCAGTCATACAGTATATTGTCACAAATCCGTGGTCTCCTAGGACTTCATTGTTGTCATTATACTGGAACATCATGGCAACAGCAAAGAGGGAACTCGGAACCACCCGCTACAAAACCACACGTTTGTACCACCTATATAAAAGGCAATCTGTTAGCTGTACCAGGCCTATCATACATGTTGTGTGTGATTTTTCCCAGCTGCTCCCTCATTTAGGCTGCCACCTAAGGTAAGGTGAACTGAGAAACAAGAAACTACTTGTGATTTGTTGGCTACCTGTCATTCTGTCAGTGCTCTTGAATGGATACCTTGTATAAAGTACTAATCACATTGCCAATAGCTGTGTATCAAGTAACAAGCAACAAAATCTGACCTGACGTGTATGTGGTTGGTGCCTTTACAAATTCTTTTCTTCAAGGCACACTTAAGGGCTTTGCTAGCAAATGTTTAGGGTGTCTGCTCCTTAGTAAAGCATAACTCCATTGAGCTGTATGAAAATGTTCCAGGAGAGTTTTTCAGAGAGCACATGTGGATGATATTCTTATACAAGGAAATGTCCGATTTTTAAAGTCATAATTTCTTGTGGCAGTGAGTTTCACAGGTTAATTCTGCATTGCATAGAAAAATATTTCCTTTAATTATTTTTTAAAAATTGTTTTCTTCTGTGTACTTGGGTGTCTCCTTGTTATTTTATTATGAAAGGGTAAATGGGGTGCCCACTTGATCTTTAAACCACGTAATGGTCTCATGTCACCTCTTTGTCTCCTTTCTTAATTGAATAGTCTTAATCACTTTAATTTCTTGCTATACAGAAATCTTTCTGTGTCTCTAGTAGTCTTTGCTGGCCTTCTCTGGACCTTTTTGATTCCTCCTATATCCATTTTGAAATAGGGTGACCAAAATGAGCAGAGTATTCTACGAGAGAGTGTATCATTGGCATATATAACGACATTATATTTTCAGTATTATTCTCTGTCCCTTTCTAAATACCGCCCAACATCTTATGTGCTCTCTTGACTACAATTGTGGGTTGAGAAGATATTTTCTTTCAGCTGTCTACGATGATGCTTAGGTTTTTGACAAGTTAATTTAAGAATCTATCAACGCATTTAAGCTACTTTTTCTCCATTGCCATGTCAGCATTAGTGTGCCTTTAAGAGGCCATTAGATATTAGGAGTGGACACTTATCCTTCAGACTAGCAATATGGATTTAAAGGATGGTTGTTTTCTCTTCTTTCTTAAATACAGACTGAATTATGAATGGGATTTGGGAAGGCGATGGAAGCTGCTAGGGATGGGAGGGTACAGAGTAAGTGAGGTATACACTAGAAACCTTCCAGGAAGGGAAAGAAGATGTTGCTATTGGCAGGTGAGGTCTGTGAAAGGAAGGCAGGGGAACAAGTGAAGTGTCACTTCAGTTTCCTCTCCTCTCCTTCCAGTCATCCTCTAGGAGGCAGTATTAAATGGAATTGAAAGCTTTTCTGTGTACGAAACTTTAAAGTTTAAACTGACATGCAACTGGGTTAAAAAAAAATCTCAGAAGACACCCCTTTTCCTACCAACTGCCTGCAAGTGTCCTCAAACTTACGCTTGGGTGTTCTGTGTAATTTTCAGGGCCTCTCTACCAAATGTATCCCTGATTTTTACCTTAATTTCAAGTATCTTTTAGCATCCTGGGCCTGATCCAACAACCACTGGAGTCAGTGGCAGTCTTTCCATTGACGTCAATGAGAATTGGATCAGTCCTAATGTCAGGTTCAGCAGTTGTTTGCTATTAAAAACACACAAAAGATAAATTAAATGAGAACTCACTTGTATTTTAAAAGAGTAATGAGAGAATGTTCTAAAACACTGCTCCTAGGTGCATGGATAGTCTGGTGGCCTCAGGAAATCATGAGCCCTTACACAATTCTCTGCAGCCTTGGGCAAGTTACTTATCTTTTCCCTGTCTTAGATTCCACATGAGTAAAATACAGACAGCAATATTTACCTTGCTACACCTGGATTGTTGGGAGTGTTACTTAGCTATTCTTTGTAAAGCATTTAGAAGATGGAAAGTGCAGTATTATTATCCTTGCAATGAAGAAATTTTCCAAAGGGCAATTTTGTTGCAAAAGGAGAAAACCAAAACAGAAAAATCAAGCCAATAAATATTACCTGCATTAAAACTGGATCACTAAGCTTTCCCACCGGAGGCCATATCCATTCTCTGACTATTTCTCCATCTTTATTAGTCACCATGCCTCCTTCCTGATTAAACATCATTGCTATGATGTTACTGTGAACAACAACCAGAAACAGAAAGCCAGGTTTAATGGTTCACGTTCGTAAAATCTGAGCAGTCCAAGAACTTTACTTTGATCTAAGTGGTTTTAATTAGCATAATAACTTTGCACATGCAGCACGCCATTGTGCTTTTCACACACTACACACTTGTAAGGCAGATCTATACTAGCCCTGCTTTACAGGTGAAGCAGTGAGGCCCAGAGACATTGAAGGGCTGTTTTAATAATTAAAATGAAATAGGAGAATGTATGAGAAACTGATGACTAATACTTGGTGAGTTTTAATACTTATTTCTAGTGCACTATCAAGAGCACAAAAATTCTTCAGCTGCCAGCGCAAATTGGAGGGAAGAAAAAGAAAATAAGGAAAAGATAGTCACGTTTATCAATCCAACCAATCAATCCATGTTGTTAAGATTCCTGAGTTGCTTTTTGGGGGTCACACTTCTACGGTTTTTCTTTAGTGTTCATTCGCAACAACAAGCCCCCAGTTACCTTTATCCCTGGCACAAACACATCAGCTGACCTGCTTCAATGTAGTGTTCTGAGAAGAAGAAAAGGAGTACTTGTGGCACCTTAGATGTCACAAATAGCAGAAGTAAGATAGAACTAAAATCAACATCCCAGACAATATGGGAAATATTTTCAATTAAGGGTCTCACTTAATTGAGTTTTACTAAAAATTGTCTCAATTACCATTGTTATTCAAAACAGATGTGGCTCAACAACTCTACAAAAATATTTAGCTTAGTACAAAGGGCCCAACTGTGGCCCAATCAGTAAATACTTCCAAATGGGTTCAACAACCCCCCTCCATCCTTCCACAAAGGCACACCGATTATCTGTGATTTGACAGATACTTCGGATGAACATTAATAAAAAAATGCATTTAACAAATAGTATTTGATCAATTCTCTCTCTGATATTCATGAAACAGTGTAAGTTAGGTAGGCAGGGGTGTGTGTGTGTTTGCTTTCCTAAGAATTGTGCTAGGGAATGATTACTCAGACAGTGTTCTGTGGCATGTCTCTCTGCCGCCAATGTCATGGAGGGTTTGCAGAGCTGCCTTTCTTCAAGTGTTTGAAGGAGCCAGGATTGTGATGAAAAACTTTTGCCCGATGTCTCCACTGCTGTGGGTAGATTTTCTGGTAAATGCATGTGCCTTCTGCCCTTGGAGATTTGGCTGGTGGTCGTTATATCACAGTACAAGTCAGGAGCCAAATTTTCAATGACCTCCATTCAGCTTCAAAATTTGGCTGATGGAAGTTTTTGGTAGCCCAAAATCTCTGACTTGTATACACTGTCATTCCATCAGTGTGAGCAAATCAAGAGTTTAGGTGCAGAGAAACTTGAGTTACCCAAAACTGTAGCTGCTTTTGGGGGAATGGAATATAATTTTAATAGTTAAAAAACAGTGGCATAAAGCAAGGGATGATTCAACTCCATGTCTGTGGCTGTGAAATCAAGTTGTATCATACAGTCTCATTCATGGCTTCGAGCAGTATCTTAGGCTCTTCTATAGCACCTCTTACTGCAGCACCAACCTTAATATACAGTACGCTAGCAAGTGCTCTGAAATATATCTCCCTACCTGTTATGAAGGCAAATACTGCCATGTCCAAAAGGTGTAAAGGTTCCAAGTATAGTCTGATCTGGAGAGGCAGTGAATATATTGGTGTACACACCACCACCTGGGAGATCGGAATAGCTTTGGCAGACTGCAGGATGCCCAGAAGGATAGCTGAAGGTACAGTCAACGAGTTTTACTTTTGGCTGATAATGCAAACTCTGGCCTCAGTTGTGACTTGGGTTATATGCCTGGGAGTAAGAGAGGCTAAAAACCCCACCCTCCTTACAGATCTTGGGCTGTCCGGATCTTGGGTTCAGTAGGAGCAAGTGGGGCTGCTTGTCTGTTTATCCCTTCCCCAGAGGGAGGGCGCAAGGAGTGGTGGAGAATGGGTGGAGCCTTGACTCAAAACTCCACCTGCTGCCTGAGCCAGCAGAGGGTGGATGAAAATTTACGGTTGGTAGAGGCCAGTGTTAAACTACTACCTTCCCACGAGCAATAAGGAAACAAGGGAGGACTTGTGACTCGGTTTCTGATGCAAAATGCCTCTTGGGGCTTCTGCAGGGACAGGGTGGCTTTGCACCGCCCCTTAGCTCTACCTAAAATCACAATCTAGCCCCCAAAGTATAATTGGTAAAGCTCTATCTCTTCATGTTCATAGGATTATATTTTCATGAATTCCATTGTATCGCCTGGAGGATTAATTTATTTTCACTGAGCAATTCACTACTACTATTCATATGGTTTATTGACTCGAATCACCCTGTGGGAGACCTGGAGAGGGAAGCAATAGTACGCCTTGTATACGTGGAAAGCAGCCCCTCTGAGGGGATATTCTCCATGTCTCTGAGTTGGTGGTGTAAAAGAGCTCTATTGCTCATAGCACACCTCTGACTGATTAGAAAAGCATGCAGCTGGTACAGCTATAAAAACAGGGACAAGGGCAATGGCAGCCCAAAATGATGGAGAGGGGGAAAAGCCTTTGCTATTAAATTTCCTTTCATTTGTTGCTAATGAACATAGGAAAGTGTGTGAAGACAAGGCTTCTGATCTCCTGCCCTGTGATCATCTAAAACCAACCAACCTCCACAGTAGTCAGAAAAAGCAGACAGAGTCCCAGCTACAATAAAAACCTGATTATCTGAGCCCCTTTCGTCCAAAACTCTCATCCCAGTCTCGGCTATAGCCCCTTTATCTACTCATACTTTATCCACCTTTTCCGCCTTATCCCCCTATGGGGTATAACTCACCTACAGCCACACATTTCTTTGAGTTATAGTTTTACCTACGCCCCATGCACACAGTACAGAGAAAGGGGCAAGTTTTTAAAACATTTCCCTGATGGTTTAGGTGAATTGGCTGGTAACTGTGAAGAACAATGTTTTCTCCTCAGACCAGAGCAACAGAAAAAGTTAAGGCCATTAGGCTCCCTACTCAGAAACTTTCCTTCCCCCTTTTTTGGCGTCTCAAAATTTGGAGTACTATCCATTGATTCCAGCCATAGATCCATTCACACATCTGCTTTCTTCCCCCTTAACTCTCCCCCAACAGCCTGCCCTCCTCCCTGTTATTGATTAGCAGCTCAAATAGCATTCAGTCCGGTTCAGAACTTAGTGGCATTTGTCCAACACTCAGCCGCCCCCACCAGCAGCATGAACAAGATACGGAACCCCCTGCATAAAAAGGGACCTTTCCTCGACTAGTCACCAGGCAAACTCTTTTGTGTGCCATAGCCTTAAGGCCTCTCCTTTACCCACATCAAGAGGTGGGAAGGATGGGCAGGAAAAGACCCACTTTGGAGCTCCAACCTGTTTCTCTTCCCTCATCTTATCCCCCCATTGACCAGTCAGTTGAATATCAGCAGCTGTGAGTGAAAAGGATTCCTCCAGCCTGTCCAACTCTGAGCTAGGAGAAGGAGGTAGGCTCCTCTGTTCCTCCATCTCTCTCACCATCCCAGAGGCTTATGGCTGGCTGGTGAACGTCCAGGTCTGATGGCCTGGGGAAATGGGAAGGGAAGTCTTTGAGTTTTGGTCTCATGCTACACAGCACCAGGCAGGCTGCCTTCTAATCATTAACAAGTGAATATTCCCTCCCTCTCGTCATGACCTCCATGTAACCAGAGGTCCAGGACCTTCCTCTCACCCCTCCTCAATGATCGCTCAGGCAGTAGAATCCATGTACTCAGGGGAGGAGTGAGTGAGGTATTAGGGCCCAGAGTCCAGAAGCAGCTCACCACATTGGTAATAGTGCTCACGTTTTTGGTGGGGAGAAGGAAGGGGAGGGCCCAGGACCAGCCCACCAAGGCAGATGTCCACTTGCTCCATCCAGGTGTGACTCTGTTATTGTACACATCACTGTTACTATTTCAGTGCAGGCCAAGAAGCAGATAAACAAAATGATGATGTCTTGCTCTTTTAAATTTACCTATGATTTAACGCTTCAACTAAACAACTTCTGAATCCTTGTGTATTGCCTTTTGAAACCCGTTCCAAACCCTCTAACCATTGCTATAACTCACTTGTACTGTATGAACTTAAAGGATATTAAATCAAAGATGAGCCATCAATCAGCCCATAATGTAGTTTTCGTAATGCTGGGTCTGCCTGCTTGATTGCTGGTGTTTGGGGTTTTCCATTCAACAGCTCAAATAAGGTCTTGCAGGTCCGCTTCTTAAATTTCTTAGAAATATTTTCTCTAACAGTATCACCATAATGCCGGAGAATGACTGGTCGGTCAAATCCTGCTTCTTTCAGCTTAGATATCTGATTGTTTCTGTTTAGACAGGGGAGAAAAAAAATCAGACCTCTAATAATGATAATTTCTCAGAGGGCTAAATCCCACCAGCCTTACCCAGGCAAAACTTCCACTAATATAAAAATGTTTGTCCAGAGTAACAGCTATAGGATTTGCTTCTTTTTTTCTCCAATACTAACCTACAGTATCAGAAAAATGTGCCCTATTTTTTCCTTTTCCCTTCCTATGTCCCCCTTCCGATGCAGAAGAATTTGTCAACCCGGCCAGATGTAGGTGGGGTCAAGATAAAATGCCAGATTCCCAGCTCCCCCTTCAACCCAGGGTGATAGATTTCTTTACAGTTAATAGTAATACTTTGCATTTCTAAGTAGTCTACCATCTAAGGAGCTTCCCAACTTGAATGAATTAAGCCTCACAAGCTAATTATTAAACCCATTTCACATACGGGAAAGACAGAGAGCTCAGATTACTTACACAAGATCACATACAGGCCGTTGGCAGAGAGGGAATTAGAAAGAAGTCAGGGAGCAGATCCTCAGCTGGGATAAATTGTCATAGATCCATTGACCTCAAGGGAGATATGACAATTTACCCCTGCTGAGGATCTGTTCCCAGATCTCCTGACCCCCATTCTTGCCTGTTAGTCACTAAATCAGTGTTGAGTTTCCATGTACTTCTTATTTTAGCTTTCACTCTACTTGCTTACTTTAATCTTGTGACTAAGAACAATAAAAAATGGTACTCTTTGTTTTTGACAAGATTTCTGTATATTTCAATATTCTAACTGATCACAAGAGCAGAGCAGAGAATCACAGCCAGGGTGGGTGGGTAAACTAAACCAGAATGAGTAGATATAAATTTTAGTCCTACCAGCCTTCAGCCCACATTCTTTTAAATCAGACTTTTGACATTATTTTACTAATCTTTGTGTTGTTTTTATATATTACACTTGGAGAAGATCTTAAAATGAGCATGTTATCTCAAAAGCTTTACACAAATAAAGTCATTAAGAAGGAAAGGCACTACAAAAGAGGTACCAAAACATTAGCTAGTAGACAACTAAGGAGTATTCTTGTCTCCAAACCAAGTTTTCTTACATTTAAAGTTATGTAACAAAACAGGGCTCAGTATTACTTTTTGCTGATCAGGCTAAGTATAAACATTCAATAACATTACATCAAGTGCTATAGCACTTGGCCAGAAATCTGGTGAGAGCACAATGTATTGCAACATGGGGATCAGGATTTCAGTTCCAAGTTGATGGGCCAGTAGGGTCTGCAAACCCTACAGAGGAACCATGTTCAGCTCCTATGGAAGGGAATGCTTTGCCCTGCAGGTGCGGGAGACCGTCCTGTTTGCTGAAGAGCAGCATACATAGTTGCTCTTCGCAGCCAGATGGACAGGTCAGCTGGCCCCACTTCGCATGGGGGTGGGGGCACTCAAGGGGTAGACCCTCTACCAGCTGCACCATAAACAAGTATAGCTGCACATATCACTTAAGTATCAATATATAGGAGACCTATAAGAGTAACATTAAATATGAAAACTCATACTTTGCATTTTTGCGAACATATAAAATATAGTTATTGGAGATTGGTCTATAGCTATTGGTCTAGTGACCTGAGTGCAGCACTAGAAGCAAATTCTAATCTTTGCTTTTACACCAACTTGCGAAGGGGCTTGGGTTAGTCATTTGAATTTTGCCTCAGTTTCCCCATCCATAAAACAGTGACAACAAACCTTTTAATGACAACATGAGGATTAATTAGTGTTTGTAAAACACTTAAATTTAAAATCCCTAGCATTTATTATAATTATTACATACACTAGTTGCTAAAACCACATAAACCTAGTCTTAATAATCATTTTTATCTAAGATATACAAGCCTTATTCAATCTAAAGATGTATAATATATGACAATAGTCAATATACTGAATTGTGAGTGGAATATTAAAATATATAACAGATATTGAAACTGTGCTGTAGTTACAGATTTACACACACACACCTTCGTTAACTGCTTTTATAAACAATTAGTATTTATATTTACAGGTTTCAGAGTAACAGCCGTGTTAGTCTGTATTCGCAAAAAGAAAAGGAGTACTTGTAGCACCTTAGAGACTAACCAATTTATTTGAGCATGAGCTTTCGTGAGCTACAGCTCACTTCATCAGATGCATACCGTGGAAACTGCAGCAGACTTTATATACACACAGAGAATATGAAACAATACCTCCTCCCACCCCACTGTCCTGCTGGTAATAGCTTATCTAAAGTGATCATCAGGTGGGCCATTTCCAGCACAAATCCAGGTTTTCTCACCCTCCACCCCCCCACACAAATTCACTCTCCTGCTGGTGCTAGCCCATCCAAAGACACTTTGGATAGCACCAGCAGGAGAGTGAATTTGTGTGGGGGGGTGGAGGGTGAGAAAACCTGGATTTGTGCTGGAAATGGCCCACCTGATGATCACTTTAGATAAGCTATTACCAGCAGGACAGTGGGGTGGGAGGAGGTATTGTTTCATATTCTCTGTGTGTATATAAAGTCTGCTGCAGTTTCCACGGTATGCATCTGATGAAGTGAGCTGTAGCTCACGAAAGCTCATGCTCAAATAAATTGGTTAGTCTCTAAGGTGCTACAAGTACTCCTTTTCTATTTATATTTAGTAATTATCTTAACTCGTCATTAAATCTGGCCTGGTTTATAAAACTAGTACCTACTATTTAAAACATTTAGACCCCAATTCTCCACTGTGTCTAAATGTGGCAGCTACAGGAAGCTAGTTGCAGCTCCCTGACTCAGGGCCACCCAGCAGTCGTGATGTAAATTGGAGCAGAAGGGCAGAGCAGAGCTCAGATACCTCCTGTTCCCAGTCCACCCTGTAACCTCACAGCTTCCATTTTACGCTGGCCATTGGGAGATGGCTGATATAGGAGAAGGCTACAAGTTCTATGCCAGCAAAGATTCCCCCTGAATAGCAAAAACACTCTGCTGGAATCTCCAGGGGTTTAAGGACACTTTGTGCTGTGTAAAACACAGAAGTGTCAAGTGTAAGCAAAACAAAGAGGCCTAGCTGAACCAGAGAATCCAGCCCTTGGGATATAATCCTGCAGTTCTCCTGAGGCCCTGATTAAGGACAGCAGGCTTGAGTTTATGGCACAGCTGTGGAAACCCAGAGTGGTATTTAAAAGTCAAGATTGTAAAATGTATCTAAACAAGTTGTCACGACTGCTGCTGGAGATTAGTGATAATCTGAAAAGATGAATCCTGACCTGTCATTAATGCCCAAGAAATGCCTCTGCTGAAGGAGTTATTGTTATTAGAATCATAGAATCATAGAATATCAGGGTTGGAAGGGACCCCTGAAGGTCATCTAGTCCAACCCCCTGCTCGAAGCAGGACCAATTCCCAGTTAAATCATCCCAGCCAGGGCTTTGTCAAGCCTGACCTTAAAAACCTCGAAGGAAGGAAGGAAGATGAACATTAAAATAAAAGTGGATTACTCCTTTATAGGAATAGTGAAGTTTCAGTTCGTTTCTCAGAATTTTCAGAGAAATAATGCTCTCAGTTGAGATTGTTTGAAACATCTCCCATCATTTCAATTTCTAATACTATTGCTATATTTATTAATCCCCAGTATGAATAAAGGGACACAGAAACCCCTGCTTGATACATTTGTATCTGAGCTTGTCGTAGTCTCTCCACTGCCCAGGCAAAAGGCACTTTCCATTCAAGATCTTCAGACTTAGAGTCAGAATGCAGGAAACTCCAACCTTAAGAAACAACACAAGAGCTCAGAATTAGATATAGCAAAGGACAGAGTTGCATTTAAGCGTCATTCCTATTCTAAGGCATTCAGCAATAACCATGTAAGGCTCACTGACATTATTTTAAAAAATGATTAAGTCTCAGGAGTTGTTTATGTTCTCAATCAGCGTATTTACTTTGCAGAATACCATGTTAGTAGGCAGGAAAGTGCCTTCCAAACTCCTTTAGTTGAAAAACAAAGAACAAAGATATCTATAGAGACTGAGGGCCTCAAAGGACTGGACAAGTCAGATAAGCTTCAGTTCAGCACTTTATCTGAACTCCAAACCCTCTGAAGTTTATCAGTCACTTTTCATTTTCCCCACAGCCTGAGCAGCCTGGCACTGCTGCTTAGATGGGCTGGATGCAGCACCCAGTTGAGTCCTTAGACAATACCCCAAGCTTTAGCTAGAAAAAGTCATTGGAGAACTAAGCCACATCTACGCCATTGAATCAGTAGTGTGCAGTGCTATGAACAGCAACGAGGCACTCTCTATACTACTTTTCTTTTTTGGATACATTTCTATCTGGTGTCCACCACTACAGCTGCACTGTTCTCTGTGTCTCTATTGCACAGTTCCCAGCTCAGCTCCTTGCAGCATTAGTTTGTGGGTGTAGTTGCAAAGGGCCTTATTAGAGCTCAAGGGATTGTAAGAGAAGAGATAAAACACACACAACTCCCTGAGGAGCTCAGCCATTTCCATAGCATTTTCTCAGGAACAGGAAGAATGGTCAGAGTTTAATCTTTGTTTGGTCAGACAATTTTCTTCTGGCGCTCCTAGTAAAATCATAGCCGAGAGCCCCAGAAGGCCCAGGAGAGGTGATGGAAGGTGTATGTAGCTACAGACAGCCAGACAATGAGCCCAGCAACAGATGGAATTCATTGGCAAAAGTCAGCTTCCCTGATTCTGTGTACCACTTCACGGTGAAGTTAGCCAGGTGACAGCTGCTTTTGGGTCAGAACTACAGGCACTGGATGGTGAGATTAAATGTTTGGGGTACTCTAGCAACGATGGCTGCAGAACTTAAACTTGCAGCAACAGACCAGCTAAATGGAAGTTCCTTTCCCCACAGAAAAGGGTAGTGACTGCCCTGAGGAAGCTGGTTACCCCAGACAGCTACTGATTGGTTGGGCATTAGTATGGGGTTGGGAAATCCACAGTAGATACTGTTTTCAGAACAATATATTAAGTGCTGAAGGGGTGTGCGATCAAGATGGCAGACGATCTAGAGATCATTGCGAATGTTGGGTAAGTGGGCTGCTTATCTATGCAGGAGCTATAGATAGGAACCAAGTGCCCTTTCTGTGCACCCAGCAATTCATTAACCCCCAGAGCATAATAACAGAAATGGATGCCACTCCATGGTGGTGCAACCCTTGCTGGCTCATCATGATGACTCCTTTATGTTCACGATGCGTGATGCCAGAATATCTAGTGACTCTGGGCTTTTCGGAAAAGGATAGTGGGGCCCATTCTTCCCACCCCACTACATAGATATTTATGGATCCTCCCTGTCCTAGAGGCTGAGCGTGCAGCCTCTGCAGCTGGTTCGTTCAGCCTCGCCCAGTCCAGAAGGTAAGGATCACATGCAGAGAGTCACTGTCAAGAAGCCACCAGATGAACTCCACAGGAGGTGAGGGGAAGAAAGTGGGTAAAATGACACTTTTTTACAGAGCAACATTTTTAAAGAAGTCTAATGAGTAATACAAAGTAAAACAGGGCTTCACTTCAGATTATGCTATTGGGCCATAAAACATACTGTGATTTACATTAAAGTCAGTGCATTACAGATCCCCTTAAGTGAAAAAGTTATGGAACGCGTAAAGGACCAGGCAGGTTTTAGCAGAAAGAGGGTTAAAAACTCGTCCCAAAACAGTGAACTGTCCTGCTTTCTGCCAACAGAGATAAGTGGATCTGCAAGTGCTTCTCAAAGGAAGGCTGATGAGTCTCATTGGCAGTGGGCAACTTATTGTGGAGGGTTTGGGTATCTAAACCTGCAGGCATGGAGCTAGGGCAGAGTGTGATCTAGGTGGCTTGTTGGGTCTTGATTTGTATGACAGTGGAAGTGAGGGTTTGATCTGAGACAGTGTCAATGGCTGTGACAAGCCTTCTGTTTAATGTTTTGTAGGAGAGCAGAAATTTTCTATTCTTCTATAACAAACCTCACCCACACCGGGGCTTTAACTCAATTCAAGCATGCAGAATCCCTTGCCTGTTTTACTGCTGTTCTGACCAGCTTGTCACAAACACTTAACACCAAAGATACAGGTGTACAGTTTCCTCCAAAAATATCTACTCACTGTGGGATTTTAGCCTTCTGTATGCAGAGCACCTTACCTCTTTCCTCAGACAGTTTAGATGACAGTGAGAAACTGATTGTGACAGGTAAGTGGATATCATGTTGTGTAACAGGAGCTAAACAAGAGGAAAAGGGAAACATGGGGCAAGCCAATTTCTTAAAAAAGATTTTCTCTTTTAAGCAGAAAGACTGCAATTTTATACAAAGAGCTGAACAAGACTTGTTCAAGACCAATGGCTCGGCACTAATTATTGTGATACCAATGGACTTTCTTGGCCCAATATTTCATTGCTGTTTCACTCACCTTGAAATGGGAAACAGTAAGTGCTTTGATGAATGGTTTGAAACATTGCCTAGTTTCGCTGTCATTGTTACACTAAGTGTTTGTACCTCTAACTTTAGCTGCAAGGCTATTTCGCAATGTTCTAAAGCAATATTTCTCAGTGAGTCATAACACATCCCTGCACAGCCAACAGGCACTCTAGCCTAACATGAAGAATTTTCTTTTTTCTAGCTGCGCCAGTGTGGCCACCTTCTCTAACCTAAATATTAGAGCAAAACACAGTTGCACATTCTACTTGCCTTTGTCTCCTACAGGCTTATTTGGTGCCATTTCAGGATTCCTTTTTTCCTTTGCACAATCCACAGGTAAAACACTCTTCTTGCGCTGACTTTTTGCACATTGAGTCATTTCATGATCCATATATTCAGACCCCGGTGCCATCTTGTCACAATCTTCTGATGCTTGGCCTTTCCCTGATCTTATGCTTTTGTACCTCAGGGACTGCTGGTGCCTTTTACTGTAATCAGCACCTTCAGTGAGCTCCTTCCAGCTGTCGTTCAGGAGATTTACAATTCCCTGAGGGAAAATAATGTCATAGCTAGCAAAGAGCTGCAATATTTCTCCAAGTTCATGTAAGATGGTGGGAGCCATGTACTTATATTCATCCAACAGGCTCGGCTGTATTTCTTCATCTGCTGGAAGGATTGAAGGCATTTGAGAGGGCTTTGAGCTGGGAACTTCACTGCTAGTTTTGCATAGGGAAGAGCCAGATATCTGAGGCAGAAATGGATATTTCTCTCTTCTTGCTGTATCATCTTTTAAGAAACTGTCTTCATTTCCTTCCACATGTTCTGCTGTACAACCAGGATTCCTGCATTTGACCAGGCTGGGAAAAAGATATTATACCTTTTAAGTAACAATTATTTTTGTTAAATAATATAACCAGGGAGTATATACAGCAGAAAGATGTCCACCTTGAAGCGAACATTCCTGCCTACAGCCTCAGCAGACAGGCCAATGACTGAATTGATATGGACACTGCGCTACTTTCTCACCCCCAGAAGTGGTGCTTCTAGGTCAAGCTGAAACACTGACAAGGCTGTATGGTGAAACTTAACACAGCTATAGCAGCAGCTGAAAGACTTTCTATGGACTTCAGTATGCTTTGGATCACTTACAATAAATTCACTTACAACAACTATGCCTGCCCCTCTTAATAATGACACAACACGGTCATTGTTTTCGTAAACGATTTCCTCTCTCATAAATAAAATTAATATCAAATAAGTTCAAGGTTCTGCTTTTTAAGGGTGACTTCCATTAAACTGGGCTTTGGATGTCCAAAGACGGCTTCACAGGTTGTTTGTTTTTTTCACTTTAGAAATATGTACGAGAAATATCAATTCTGCTCTTCCCTGGTTGTGGGAGGTATTGGAGCATACTTGTTTTGAACTCTCACACCTTAGTTGAAGGGGTGGAGGTGTTCAATCTTTACCAAAGATGTCTTTTATTCAGAATAGGTATTGTCATAAATATAAAGGGAAGGGTAAACCCCTTTGAAATCCCTCCTGGCCAGGGGAAAGCTCCTCTCACCTGTAAAGGGTTAAGAAGCTAAAGGTAACCTCGCGGGCACCTGACCAAAATGACCAATGAGGCGACAAGATACTTTCAAAAGCTGGGAGGAGGGAGAGAAACAAAGGGTCTGTTTCAGAGTAACAGCCGTGTTAGTCTGTATTCGCAAAAAGAAAAGGAGTACTTGTGGCACCTTAGAGACTAACCAATTTATTTGGTTTAAAGGGTCTGTGTGTCTGTCTATATACTGGTTTCTGCCGGGGATAGACCAGGAATGGAGTCTTAGAACTTATAGTAAGTAATCTAGCTAGGTATGTGTTAGATTATGATTTCTTTAAATGGCTGAGAAAAGAATTGTGCTGAATAGAATAACTATTTCTGTCTGTGTATCTTTTTTGTAACTTAAGGTTTTGCCTAGAGGGGTTCTCTATGTTTTTGAATCTAATTACCCTGTAAGATATCTACCATCCTGATTTTACAGGGGGGATTTCTTTATTTCTATTTACTTCTATTTTTATTAAAAGTCGTCTTGTAAGAAAACTGAATGCTTTTTCATTGTTCTCAGATCCAAGGGTTTGGGTCTGTGGTCACCTATGCAAATTGGTGAGGCTTTTTATCCAACATTTCCCAGGAAAGGGAGGGTGCAAGTGTTGGGAGGATTGTTCATTGTTCTTAAGATCCAAGGGTCTGGGTCTGTAGTCACCTAGGCAAATTGGTGAGGCTTTTTACCAAACCTTGTCCAGGAAGTGGGCTGCAAGGTTTTGGGAAGTATTTTGGGGGGAAAGACGCGTCCAAACAGCTCTTCCCCAGTAACCAGTATTAGTTTGGTGGTGGTAGCGGCAAGGACAAAGGGTGGAATATTTTGTACCTTGGGAAAGTTTTGACCTAAGTTGGTAAAGATAAGCTTAGGAGGTTTTTCATGTAGGTCCCCACATCTGTACCCTAGAGTTCAGAGTGGGGGAGGAACCTTGACAGGTATTAACAAAGAAGGTTTTAAACCCAGTCCTGCAAACTTTTGCAGGTGCTTAATTTCAAGCATGATTAGTTTCAATGGGAATGTCTCACATACTTAAAGCTAATCGTGAGCGTACATGTTTGCCAAGGCCTTAAACAATCTGGGTAAAATTGTCAGCACTACCAAAGTGATTTTGGAACCTGAATCCCTTTTTCAAAAATGACTTAGGTGCTAAAGAGCTTCAGTCTCACTGAAAGCAAATAGCCTCCTAAGTCACTTTGGTGTTTCTGAAAAATGTATCCTCTGACTAAAAATCTCTTTCCCTCTCCGTTTCTCAACTTTTACTCTCTTGACCCTTGTGATGTCATCATTTCACTAGTTCTCTGTTCACCATAGAGTCTTCCAGGACCGACAAAACCCGAATTTCCAATGCAAAAACCAATTAGCCATCTACCCCGTCTTTTTGAAATTACCATCCCTATCCAATCTTTTGTAACTTTATATTTAATAAAGAAGTATTTTTTTTAAAAGGCATATGACCATTTTATTTCTTTCCAATTCACCTTTAACTCTTGCAACCTTACCGCTTATAGCCAGTAATTCCAAGGGGGTCTGGAGTGCCATAAAGTTAATGGCCACTACTGAGATCTGCAGCAAGGCAGTGAAGCATCATTCAAAAAGAATTTCATAAATCACTTACAAGGTATAAAGTGACTCGTAAAGGCGCACTAAACTGATAAGGAGCTCATTAGCATGCTAATGCTGGAGATTTCCCATTAATTTGTGCCAACTAATAGGGTTCTCCAGGCAGGTGTGTCCATCTCTCTGCAGGAAAAATATCAGTTTTAAAAATCAAAACAAATATTTATGCGATGCACCTTGCCTAAAGAATCCACCAGCAAAAACTAATTCACATCTTTCAAAATATTTAAACCTCTCCCCTAAGGAACCATGCTGATGTTTATTGCCTCCTAGTGAATCAGACAGCAGATGAGACTTTATGAAATTCAGATAGTGCCATGCAAATTAAGGAAGCATCTGTACTTGTTTAAGCATCAGCAAATTGGTAGTGATTTCACCTTTTAGAAATAAATAGTGGAGCATCGCTCAATAATCACTTGGAGGGAAAGGGCCACCTGTTGAATCATCTACCCCACTTCCTGCAACACCTGGGCTTTCCTTGGAGGTCTCCCAGGTCATGAGTAGTCAGAGCAGAAATCTGTTTGTTTTATGAGATCAGTAGCTTTCCCATCAAGGGGCACCACATTATACTGGTTTGACCTAATGGACGCACACCATAATAAAAGTACGCTTTGAAAGTGCTCCTGTCACCTCCTGCATGTTGCATCCAGGATGGTAAGGAATGATTTAAAATAATCCTTCTGATAGCTTGACACTGACTAAAGATAATCATTATATTTAGCAAATTGTACCATGTATTTTTATTATTTATTATGTGCATTACCATAGTGCTTTATATTTACAAAAAGAGCCATGCACACATGTAGGGCCAGATCCTGCAACTGGACCTGTGGAGGTGACACCCCAGTCACTTCAGTGGGTTGCCAGTGACAACTCACACAGATCCGGTTACAAGACCTAGCGCTAGGTCATTAATCTGAACAATCATAGGTACTGACTCCAGGGTGCTCCAGCCCTGGAGCACGCACATAAAAGAAATGGTGGGTGCTGAGCATTCTTCTTATCAACACCTCCCCCTACCCCCAGCACCTCCCACCTGCCGATCAGTTCTTTCCCCTCCCTCCCAGAAGGGAAGAAGAAGAGGCAGGGTGGGGTTGGGGCCTTGGGAGAAGGGGTGGGGTGAGGGTGGGGTGGGATGGAGCTGGGGGAACCCCCCCCCCAAAACGTCAGAAAGTAGGCACCTATGTGAACAATACCCCTACAATTCAGGTCAGTGCTGTTTCCATTTTACAGATTGGGGAACTGAGACACAGAGAAGTTAAAGGACTTGTTCACGGTCGCATAGGAAATTAATCACAGAACCAGGAATTAGAATTTAGGGGTTCCTGGGTTTCAGTCCTCTAAACCAGGGGTTCTCAACCTGTTTCTTTCGGAGGCCCCCCAAACATGCTATAAATCTCCACGGCCCACCTGTGCCACAATAACTGGTTTTCTAAATATAAAAGCCAGGACTGGCGTTAAGGGGTAGCAAGCTGGGAAATTGCCCAGGGCCCCATGCCAGAGGGGGCACTGTGAAGCTAAGTTGTTCAGACTCCTGCTTCAGCCTCAGGTGGCAGGGTTCAGGGCCCCGGGCTTCAGCCCCATGCAGTGGGACTCTGTCTTTAGGCTCTGGGCCCCAGCAAGTCTAACACTGGTCCTGCTTGGCAGACCCCCTGAAACCTGCTCCCGGTCCCCCCACCCCCAGGGGGCCCCGAACCCCTGTTTGAGAACCACTGCTGTGAACTATCCATCATTCCACGCTGCTTCTCAATGTCATTGTAAGGTCCATAGGGCAGGAATATTTTTGTCATCATTATTATCTGATATTTGTATTATGGTAGTGCCTGAATATCCCAGCCAAGCCTGTGGCCACTTGCTGCTAGCTACTGTGTAAAGCTGGAGTAAGAAACAGTCTCTTCCCTGAAGAGCTTGCAATCATCATATAGTGTGTTTCTCTGGGGTACTTAGGAGAACGTTTCCTACATTTGCAGAGCTGAATTGTAACCATTAAAGATTGTAGGTGCAAACTAATTTTCTTTTTACTTTAAGTAAATTTTAGGTTATCATTGGCCATTACTGGCAGTTTTCTTAGATTGTTTTTAAGTTAAAAACAATTAATCATATTGAAACAAACTCAAAGGGAGATTTTTCAAAGGCATAAATGGGAATCCAGGGAAGTTGGGTGTTTTACACCCATTTCTGCCTTTGAAAATTTTCTTCTCAACTACTAATTGGTGGAAACTGAACCACATGTATTGCCACCAGCATCATATGAACTCCCTTACCTGGGAATAAAGCCCGTGGGATGAGAATTTGTGGTGAGTGAATTGAAATCAGTGGGTAGTTCTTCTGGTAGTTTCTTGCCCCGTTCTTTTGTTCTAGATTTCAGCTAAAACAAAATATATATTTTGGATTAAACATATAAATGCTGGGGGGAAAAGAAACAATATTGTGCTAAAGATGAAAGGAAATACCTGGTCAAAGAAATATATGGGTCCTGGCTCCAGGGTTACTGGCAGCGGCATTTTCTCCCTTTGTTCCTAGAAGGAGTAGAATGTGGTTATGCCAACAGAAAGTGGGAATGAAAAGTGTTAGTATTTTCTGCAATATGATTAAGGTAACATTATTGTTTTCATTGCGAGACCCTGAAAATCCTCTCTAGTTAACATAGAAACCACCGCCATAGGAACAGCAACAAAATGTTGCATAATTAATTTTTAAAATGTTTTAGCTGTGTTAAAAATTATATGAAGTTCAAAAAAATTCACTTTATCAATTTTTGACACATTCATGTTCGTATTGCTCCACACTAGCTTCAGCAACTTCTTGTGGTGTATTATCTGTAATGACTTTTCTTTGGTTTACTATGTGGATAAAAATGTAAAAATGGCAGCCAGTGTCATTTTGAGAAGTGACTATCACCCTGTGTGTACACAAGCAAACTTCACCAAATAGGGTTTTTATTATGCCTTTTTCACAGATATATAACAGGTATCTTAAATATGTATTCAAGAAATATTGTTTCAAGTCTAAGGCCTTGATCCTGGAAGGAGCTCCACACAGGTGGACGCCTGCAGCCATACAAAGTCAGTGGGTCTCTGCTTGGAGGCAGGGGTCTGACTGCATGGAGCACTTTATAGGAGCAGGGCCTAAAACATGTTTGTGTGGAGATGTAGATATACTGAAATAACTATTTATCAAGTAAACCATCTGGGAATTTTAAAAGTGTAGATCTATACAATAGACTGGAAATTATTTTTTTTTCAGTTATGTAACATTAATCTTATCACCTTTTAAAAACAATTGTTCTTAAATGAAATGCAAGGGAGGGTGCAACTGCAAAAGAGTTGACCTGTTGAATACACAAAGATCTGCATTTGAACATGCACATAGATGTGCCCCGGTTTGTGTGTACAAATGACAGTCGGTGCACTCCAGCTTATGGTTTTTGCAGCAAGATAGGGGAACATGAATTTTCACAGATACACTCATGCTCTTTGAAAATCTGGCCTCAAAATGACATTAAGATTATCACAAAACTGATACAAGAAAGGAAATTCAGAATTCATGCTGACAGGCTGCACGTAAATTGTGGTTTGGTGAAAAAGGTATGTGCCAATGGCCAGGACTTAGGAAAACAGGCTGCCAGGATTAAGTCTGAGTTTCTTGACTTCTGTCAATCGTGTCACTTTTAACTTTGATTGCATATATTTTTTTTTCTGTTTTAAATACAAATTTTGAAAAGGAACTTTCAGAATAAAAAGAGCCATTTATTTTGCTCATGCTACAAACTCAGATATCTTTAACAATATCTGTAACTCTCATAATTAATATTACTGATTATTTTAGTTAAGGAGAATCTAGTGGCAAAGTGTAGGACCCACCTCCCTTCTCTATGTTCAGAAATGGGGTGAGGAGAGAATCTCTCTCTCTCTCTCTCTCTCTCTCTCAGAATGAGTATATAAAAGACACTTTCTCTGGTATAGTAAGCTGCTTTCTTTGTCAGACATCTACTTTTACTTTGTCAGACATCTCCAATCTTCGGGGCTGATGCTGAAGCCTTTACTCATGAGAATAGTTCCACTAGTTTCAGTGGGTTTACATGTGAGTAAGGGCTGCAAGTTTGGGCCCTAAGCTTGGAAGAGAAGTACTGAAATCTCATAAACATGCAATTGAATGAATGAAATTAGCAACAGAAGTACATTTGATAAATACATTGATACTCCACTTCAGAGTTGAATGTAGACTGTTCATTGCCTATTCCCCCTCCATTTCCCTCGTACAATAAACACATAAAGACATCTCCCTTTCTTGGCATAAATATAAGAATTGAATGAAGAAAAAAGCATAACATACCCTGAAAGAAGCCTTTCCTTGAAGAACAGAACTTCTTTCGCTAGTAAAAAGATGCAAATGCAAACTGCCTCCTTAGAAAGAAAAGGAGGTGTGTCAATGTGCTGTCTTTCTACACCGAGTTTAAAGTCCTGTTGCTTAGTAACCACATACTCTGGACTGTACTCAACTATAATCCCTTTTCTTAACTTCTCCAGCCCATGTATGCTTGTGTCTGGAGAGTTAGCTTTCAGTCCCTTCCTCCACCCCCAAAAATTGTTTTCATGTATTTCTTTCTCAAGACTCTACACTGGCTCTACCATCCATTTTATTTGGCTACTGTCAAATAGAATGTCACATTTCAAAACACAGGATTACCTAACATAATGCAGTTTAAACACGAACAACAGGAGACTGACTTTAACGGAGAAAGGGCCCAAACGCGAGTTAGTGAGTGAATCCCTCAAGATGTAGATAGCACTGAGCTCTTCTTAAACCTTGGGGATCAGTCCCAAAGGAGCAGGACAAGCTCTCCAGCATACAGTTATTGATACATATTTATGATTTGTTATCACTTTATTAAGTCAATTCCATTTCTTTATATCACTTTATTCATTCTTCTATTTTAAAAATGTGGTTCCCATTTACAGTCTTCTATTATTCATGCCATCCTGCCATTTATTGCCACTAATGAGTTAGTCATGCCAGTTTTAACTCATTACAGTATTTCATTTCCTCTGTTATTTTCGTATTCATTTCTTGTCACCTTTGTAAACTACTACTGCCACTGATTCTTTCTCCTATCACACATGTGCTGCTTTGCTCTTCTCACCCCCTCCCTTATTCACCGTGGCTTGTGTTCTCATACTCTGGATTTTCAGCTCTGCATTGTTATTACTCTCACTTTTTCTTCTCTCCACCACTGCTCAATATCATCTCCTCCTCTCTAGTCCCCTCCTGACCTACTGGGCTTCCATAAACTTGCAGACCTCCATTATCTCTAACCCCTGCTATGTAATTGGGAAAACAAATGGGCTGGAAAATTTCCTAATCTTATGAAAAATTAAGGAGCAGGATAGGGAGCACCACTCAGTGCATCTGTCCCAGTCCACCATGGCTGCCTCCTTCAGCTCCCCAGAAGGGACAATGGCTACATGTGAAGCTGAAAGACAAAAAAAGTACTGGAAAATGGGAACATGGTTATGGACCCGCAGGACTATAATAGGCACAATACAGATGATATGCACAAATAAAAACAATAAATAAAAATGAAGGCTTGTCCAGATTAAAAAACAAAAAACACCTGCTCTGTGCATCCTCCCTCCTATCTAATTAGAAAACCACACAGCAAAGAAATAGATTAAAGCTGTCCGAGGCAGTAGTAACATTATATATATAGCTATGCAATATATTGTTAATAAAACGAAAGGCTGATCCTTTGTGGCCTACCCTAATCAGCTACACACTGCAGAGATCCTGATCAGGGAGCATGAATAACAGAACAGCAGAAATGGGAACAGTGTTAAAAAGTTAGCAGCCTTGTCTACACACAAAAGTTGTACCGTTTTAACTATACTGGTACAACTTTCAGTGGATACAGTTATACCAGTATAAATATGCTTATATCAGTATACTTTATTCCCGTACAGGAAGGGAAATAAATGATACTGTCATAAAGCAGCTTTTTACTGGCATAACTCTGTCCATATAGGGGTTGTACTGGTATAGTTATAATATTCTAGTATGAAAAATATCAGACCCCTGACTGACATAGTTATACCAGTACAAAAACTGTGGGTAGACCAGGCCTAGTGGTATCAGGAATAAAGTTGACTTAATTAATGAAGTGGTGATGAATGGCAGCACAGCTGTTCTCCCTTTTTGTTTTTATACTACTTTACATCTATATTGTGTTTTACAAGCAAAGGATGTGGGAATTCTACAAATTTCAATGTGTGGCATTTCCCTCACATTGTTTCCATCCCCAGCAAGCAAGACTGGTGGGTGGACAAGGGCTATAGCGATAGAAACAATGGAAAGATTTTTTGTATTTGGAAAAAGAAAAGGAGTACTTGTGGCACCTTAGAGACTAACCAATTTATTTGAGCATGAGCTTTCGTGAGCTACAGCTCACTTCATCAGATGTATACCGTGGAAACTGCAGCAGACTTTATATACACACAGAGAATATGAAACAATACCTCCTCCCACCCCACTGTCCTGCTGGTAATAGCTTATCTAAAGTGATCAACAGGTGGGCCATTTCCAGCACAAATCCAGGTTTTCTCACCCTCCACCCCCCCACACAAATTCACTCTCCTGCTGGTGCTAGCCCATCCAAAGTGACAACTCTTTACATAATCAAGTCGGGCTATTTGGAATAGTCTATCTGGTCTGTCCCTGTGAAAGATAGGATGGACTAGTGGTCCCTCTGAACAGCAGGATTAGAAACCAGGATCTCGGGTATACTAATCTCAGCTCTGTGTATAACTCTTGCTCCATGTGAACTTTGGCAAATTACTTAACTTCTCTTCCTCACTTTTCTAACTCTAAAATCAGGCTCTTGTGAGGCTAAGGGTTCACTGCTCTTTCCAAGCAACTCCTGTCTCAGAGCCGACAACTCACTATACCTAATACACTACTATACCTAAACACCATGGAATTTATCCATGACAGGTACTGAAAGATTGTAACTTATCAATACTCATAATCATTGTGAGATGTGTGTATGGATAATATTTCAGCAATAATGTAACTATATTGAAAACTATACCTTATTATGACTTGAAGTAAAAGTTAGTCACCAGCAAATTGTATGTCTCAGTAATGATTCAAGTGGGAGGCAGTTACCACCCCTCTCAGGTCAGCCGGTGATGTAGTGCACTGTTCAATTGTCTATTCTTGCCTGATCCCAGAACAGTCAATGGAAAACCAGCAAAGACAACTACAAACAACCAAAACCACTTGGAGGGGAAAGGCATACCATAACAGAGAGGGGATCAACTGGTCTGTGAATAAAGACAAAAGACTGAACCATATATAACAGTGTGGAGAAAGACACTCTTCATCCATTTACTGAGTGAGGCGACATCTTGTTGAGTGGTCAAATGAAAGATTTGATCCTAGTTCCTGTGAAACCAGCCCCCTTGGCAAGAGACTGAACTTTGGAGAGGAAACCTACCTTATTAGCTAAGAAAGGTAACTATTAATAAGTGTAGGCCCTAGATCACGTTTTATTATTTCATTTTATAGTAACCATTTATTTCCATCACTCTCTCTTGTTTCTAATGGAACCACCATTCTTACTTAAACCTTCTTTAGTTTTATTATAAGTGCTGTGTATTATATACAAGTGGTGATTTAAGGTTCACCTGGTAAACTGGGGTACACTGTTTCTTTGGGAGCAAGAGATCTGGATTCCTTGATGTAGCCAGTGTCAAGGGCTGGATATCACAGGGGAACTCAGGTTCAAGGGGACTCAGGGACTGTTAACTTGCAAGGCAACATTAGGGCTGGCATAGGCCAGAACAGAGTGTTTGAGTGGCTGACAGGCTGATGGTATCAGGGAGCTAACAACAATCTGCCACAGGCAAGATTCCCTCTTGGTAGAGGCAGGAGGTAAAAAGGTGACTCACAGTCCTAGATACCTCAAGACCCATCAGAGAGGGTTAATTAGTTTGTTCAGTATACTGAAGTTATAAAATAAATAACAGCTCTAAGTGTTATAATTGTTGTATGCAGTATTGTTGTAGCTATGTCAGTCTCGGGATATTAGAGAGACAGGGTGGGTGAGGTTGGTCCAATAAAAGATATTACCTCACCCACTGTATCTAAGTATTAGATACGGTATTGTTGAGGATAACTTCCTGGTGCAAGTGCTGGACGAACCAACTAGGGCTCCTGCTCCTCTTGACCTGCTGCTCACAATCAGGGAAGAATTGATAGGGGAAGTAGAAGTGGGTGGCAACCTGGGCAACTGTGACCATGAGATAGCTGAATTCAGGATCCTGACAAAAAGAAGAAAGGAGAGCAGCAGAATATGGACCCTGGACTTCAGAAAAGCAGACATTGAATCCCTCAGGGAACTGATGGGCAGGATCCCCTGGGAGGCTAATATGAGGGGGAAAGGAGTCCAGGAGAGCTGGCTGTATTTGAAAGAAGCTTAATTGAGGACGCAGGCACAAACCATCCCAATGTGTAGAATGAACAGCAAATATGGCAGGCGACCAGCTTGGCTTAACAGAGAAATCTTCGGTTAGCTTAAGCACAAAACGGAAGCTTACAAGATGTGGAAACTTGGACAGATGATTAGGGAGGAGTATAAAAATATTGCTCGAGCATGCAGTGGTGTAATCAGGAAGGCCAAAGCACAATTGGCGTTGCAGCTAGCAAGGAATGTGAAGGGTAACAAGAAGGGTTTCTACAGGTATGTTAACAACAAAAAGAAGGTCAGGGAAAGGGTGGGATCCTTAGTGACAGATGACGTGGAAACAGCTGAAGTACTAAATGCTTTTTTTGCCTTGGTCTTCACAGACAGGGTCAGCTCCCAGACTGCTGCACTCGGCAGCACAGTATGGGGAGATGGTGAGCAGCCCTCAGTGGTGAAAGAACAGATTAAGGACTATTTAGAAAAGCTGAGCCATCCATGGGGCCGGATCTAATGCATCCGAGGGTGCTAAGGGATGTGATTGCAGAGCCATTGGCCATTATCTTTGAAAACTCATGGTGATCGGGGGAGTCGGACGATTGGAAAAAGGCAAATATGGTGCCCATCTTTAAAAAAGGGAAGAAGGAGAATCCGGGGAACTACAGTCCGATCACCCTCACCTCAGTCCCTGGAAAAATCATGGAGCAGGTCCTCAAGGAATCCATTTTCAAGCACTTGGAGGAGAGAAAGGTGATGAGGAACAGTTAACATGGATTCACCAAGGGCAAGTCATGCCTGACCAATCTGATTGCCTTTATGATTAGATAACTGGCTCTGTGGATATGGGGAAAGTGGTGGACGTGATATATCTTGACTTTAGCAAGCTTTTGATACGGTCTCCGACAGTATTCTTGCCAGCAAGTTAAAAAAGTATGGATTGGATGAATGGACTATAAGGTGGATAGAAAGCTGACTAGATTGTCGGGTTCAACAGGTAGTGATCAACAGCTTGAT